CCTAGATATGTTGTTGCCACTTCAGATCTAGTGTTGGGATGGTCTAATATGTCATAAAGCATCAAAAGATGAGGAGTTGGTGAAAACCTTTTGTCCCTAAACCTAGCCCTAAAGTGTTTTGAGCCTAGATATCTTTAGTTATACGTAAACTTTGCAACTTTACGTGAGGATTGAGCTTTGGGAGTATGGATCTATGAGTTGGAGCCCCTGCATGGCTTGAAAAGCCACTGTATCGATTAAGAACTGGTGAAACTCGACGAGTCACATGGGTGGACTCGGCGAGTTGGATGAAGTTGGGTAGGAACTCGGCGAGTTGGAAGAACAACTCAGCGAGTCTGTTGAAGATTACCTTGTACTCGGCGAGTCTGTTCTTGGACTCGGCGAGTCGAGTCGCGATACCCCAAACCCTTCGAGTGAGACTCGAATCAATGAGTCGAATGAAGAATCGGTGAGTTGGTCAGGTTAGGACTCAGAAATCGGTAGACTCGGCGAGTCGAGACGCGAATGGAAGGACTCTGAACATATGAACTCGGCGAGTCAGTAGGGTGACTCGACGAGTAGGGTTGACCTGGAAGGTTGACTTTGACCAGGACTTTGACTTTGACCAGAGTTGACTTGGTTGTCTCTCGGGGGTCAGTTAGACTTAGTGTTGCATTGATATTGGTAGTTCGGGGAGCAAGGGGAGTAGGAGTTCAGAGAGTTGCCGGGCAGCAACTAGTGAGATCATCAACAAGTTCAACCAGTGCAGGTGAGTTTCCCTTTGTGTGAATGGGTCTAAGGCCAAAATGCCAACCCATGTAGTTATGAGTAGAAGACCTGGGGGTTAGACCTAGGCACAATATGCTAGTTTGATATTCAGGACGAGGTCCATTAATAGCGGGCGGGTGCCCAAGGATTTGTTTATATGATAGTTTATACTTGTTGTCTGTGTGATACATGTATGTGCCTGGTAGGGAGGTGAGTGTGGGAGAGGTCCCGTATCTCACCAATAGCAGAGTGTGGATGGTGTTCCACATTTCATTAGTAGCAGAACAGGGGCGAGGCTCAAGCTAGGGAAGGAGTGAGAGTGGGTTGGGCCCGTATCTCACTACCAGTAGCAGCGTGGACGGGATTCCATGACTCATCAGTAGCAGGACAAGGGCGAGGCCCAGGATAGGCGAGGCCTTAGGACAGGATCAATCATATGAGTTTAGCTTATGTGTTGTGATATGTTTATATGATATTATTTGTTGGCGGGCGAGGCCCTGTGATATGTTTATGTGTTATTATTTGTTGGCGGGCGGGGTCCTGTGATAGGCGAGGCCTAAGTAAAACAGATCTGTATCTGAGCGGGGCTCGAAGCCAGGCGGGGCCGTTATAGCGAGCGAGGCCCGAGGCAGGGGGCGAGGCCCAAGATAGCGGGCGTGGCCCAGTATGTACAGTATGTGGTTATGTATGGTATGTGGTAGGGTGGGGAACTCACTAAGCTTCGTGCTTACGGTTTTCAGTTTTGGTTTCAGGTACTTCCGGTAGCGAAGGGAAGAGCTCGGGGTGATCGTATGGCACACACCATTGATTAGACAGTCTGGGAATGTTTTACTCTGATAACGAACATGTGTTTTGAAAATTTATACTCTGTATATGTTTTGGATTGATGACTTTGCTTTAAGTAATGTTTTATTAAAAGAAATTTTTAGTCTTGAATTTTGGGTCGTTACATGTAGACATTTGTATGTTTGGTCGAAATCAGTGCACAAAGTTTCGTATTTAAGTCCTCTACACTTCATTAGTTTTGACCGAAATCCATAAATTCCTCTAACTAGGGTAAAAATGACAATTTACCTAGAATGGTCCGGAATGAGCTGCTATGCGAGACAAATTTATAAAATTCGTCATAAATTGCAGAAAAATTGTATGGAAGTGTGCGAATACTACTTTAAAGATAAGAACTTAATCTATCTTCATGTGATACATTTTTGAAAAATATGGAGCTTAAGGGGGGGGGGGGAACATGTCCCGAACAAACCATAAGTTTTATGTAGAAATCTGGAATTTAAAATATAGTGAATTCTTAAATATTTGTAATTCCTGTGACATGTTGCATTTTTTTGCATTCATTTATGGACTTCCTCTTATAGCATTCATATATTATGTCATAAACTAATGAAAATTTACTCAATAGTTGTTATATTTGAATCCACTTATCATGCATCATTCTTTCCATGTCGTCATAAATGGAAAAGTGATTGTTCCTCTCTTTACGGGTTTACTATAGGTTTCATAAATTGCTAAAATAATGAATAATATTATTAAACAACGAATGTTGTTATTACGAATCTCACACCTAATAGAAAATTAAGTTCTGCCATTTGTTTGATTCGTTTTTTCTACGACAATTGTGAATATTTCACACCTATTACCTTCTGTTTTGCTTATTGTTTGTCAGTTCGATTTATTAGATCACTTCAATTCATAAAATCATTCATGGAGTACACTTTGGGCAACAAAAGAAATGTTGCACAAGAGCATCCATCCATCGTAAATTACAGTTTTTGATTATTTTTTTAGTTTTACAGTTATCATCATTGAGCTCTAACATCATTATTGAAACTCTTTCAAGAACATCATTACATATATTTGATATTTTATGTTGTACAAGTAAATATTTTGAAAAACTAAAATACAACAAGAATGTTCTTGATCTGTACAAGTGTATAGAAAAACTAACGTACAACAAGAATGTTCTTGGTACAAGCGTACAAATAATGTGCTTTTTGGAGTTATTGTTAAAAAAACCATGGACAACTATACAACGTCGGTTTGTTCCATCAGGTGGTAGAGAATTTTTTTGACATTGGTGGTATATCATTTTCGTGTACAATTTTAGCATCTTCCTTATGTGGACTCATTATTACTGAATGTGATAATGGAGACGAATATCTAAAAAAGTTTTTATTTGTTTGTAAACCAACGACTTTAGATTGCAAATCGTTACCGTTCCCAATCTCTAAATACGTTGCGGTAAGGTTGTTATGGTAGTTATGAGTTCGAAGCCGTTGCATTTCAAAATCATGCGATTATCATACACACTATCATCATAAGACTTTATCTATATTATATTTTAGGTATATTATTTTAGTTTATTTTACTATTGATAGGTTATTTTCTTTGTAGCGATCTGCTTAAGGATTTGATGGATTATGATTACTTCCAACTGATAAATTCATTTTAATCCATTAATACATCCCCTTCGTTTTAACATAAAAAGTTGTCTATAAATAGATCTTTCAATTCAATGATTATAGATATTTATCGATTTCATATATTTTCTACACATATCAATAATACTATTAACCATAATTTTCTTTTTTATAATTTGGGGGTGTTTGAGATTGTGTTTGAAAAGTGCTTATTTGCTTATTGGCTTTTTGAAAAGCTAATAAGTCAAAAAAAGTGTTTGACAAACTCAAAAACATTTTTCAGAATGGTTTTTCTATAAGCTTCAATAAACATTTTTTAATAAACATGGAAAACATGGCTTTTTGAAATTGCTTATGGTTTTTCAGCCAAAATAACTTTAAAAAACACTTTTTAAACCAAACACTTTTTAACTTATTGACTTATTGGCTTTTTCACTGTAAAAACTTATCCAAACATTTTTTAAAAAACTCTTTTTACCACCACTATAAACAAATAAACACTTTCATCTAAAAACACTTTTCTAGTTAAAAAAAACTCCCAAATACCCTCTATATATTATCTATCCCCATTTATATATTCTTATGCGTTTAATGTGGTTGTAATCTATCTAATAAATTATTATTCTACAAACTCAAACTTTAATCAAATTTATTAAAATCTAATGAAAAGGCTAAATATAAGTCTTGCGTTGTTGATACACATGAGTCTATATACCTTCACCGTATTTCTTCAGCTCCTTCGACTTCTGGTCTTTATACAAAAGTTTTCATTACTTGTTCTTCACAATCGTGCAATCAACGTGGAATCAATACCAAATAGTTCCGTCTTTAGAGGTACAGATTTTTTGATTTCATTACCCCTTTCAAACTTCGTCAAAAGATTCGTTGCTTTCAAGGGGATAGATTGCTTCCTGATGTTCATTAGCGTACACGATTCGTCCATTGATGTTTTCCTCCATTTTATACCAATTTTTTTTCTAAAGTTTTTTGTTCGTCAATAAACGTGGGATTAATTTCAGCTGATTCCTCGTTTCGCCGATTCAACGACCGACTTCATCTCGTGGATTTTTGAGCTGTTTTTCGTTGTTTGTTTATTCATTCCCCACTTCCCTCATTAGTATTGTAGGATTCACAATCTGAAATTATCTGTTATCACCCCCAAATCTGATATTCATCTCACATCCGAATCAAAGGTAATTGTTCTGAGCCGCACTCTTGATTTGTTTCTTTTGTTTTCAAAAGTTTAGCTCATAAATTGCTGCATTTGCTTTAATCCATCTTTTCAACAAACTTTATTGAAACCCTCGTTATTTCCACCATTCTAGTAACGAACTAATTCTTTTTCAAATTGAGGTTCTCCTTTAACAATCGCTTGAATGTTAATTCAGATATGCCCTACCTATCTATGACTTGTTTGATGAAGCTTCAAGGGCAATAAAGAGAAAGTTATCTCAATGTTTTTTTGTTTTATGTTTTTTGTGCTAGTAAATGTTAGGAATACAGGGGGTGTATCGATTTGCTTAGTGAAAGTGATTATTGTGACTTACAGAATTAGAATCTACTAACAAGATAATCAATCGACTCAAATCTGCTTCACCAGCGCTGATTAGATAATGAGAAAGTGGGAATCACAAACTTTCACCCCAACATTCAAAACTGATTACTGTTATAATGCACATTCAAACACCCCCAAATTCTCAATCTAGGGTAATAAGTTGATTGTTATTGACAAATATATGAACATAACTTCAGTTTATATGTCCTTTTTCTTTTTTACTTTTAGATGGAATCCAAGCTGGATTGTGATGCGGATCATGGTCATGATCATGATCATGATCATGATCCAAACGAAGGTTCCATGGTCAAGATAGAAGAGAATGGAAGGCGTCCAGGGGTATATATCTACAGACAAGATGTTGTAAAGAGCAAAACTGATGGAAAGACAGGTGTAGTGACAGAAGTTGCAGGTGATTCTGATTCAGATAGCAGTAGTGATGATGAAGACGAAGATGAAGACAATGAAGTGGTGGGCCCCAAAGAAGATTTACATGAAAACATCACTGGAAATAATACTGATAATGATGATGAAGAAGAAGAAGAAGAAGAAAACACCCCACTTCCAGCAGACCATGTTAGGGTTTTATGGATGGATGAGTCAGAGTCAACCCATAGTCAAAATGATGTGATAGTCATTGACAGAGGTTTTTTACATGGAGATTATGTTGCTTCTGCTTCTGATCCAACTGGGCAAGTGGGTGTTGTTATTGATGTCAATATATCCGTTGACTTGTCAACCATTGATGGGTGTGTCATAAATGATGTCTCTTCAAAGAATCTGAAACGTGTAAGGGATTTTCAAGTGGGCGATTATGTAATTTTTGGCCCATGGTTGGGCAGAATCGATGATGTTCTTGATAATGTCACAGTCATGTTTGATGATGGATCAGTTTGTAAAGTTATGAAAGCTGATCCTTTAAGGTTAAAACCCGTTGGCAAGAATCTTCTAGAAGATGCACATTACCCATATTACCCTGGTCAAAGAGTCAAAGCGAGTTCTTCATCTGTTTTCAAGAATTCAAGATGGGTGTCTGGGTTATGGAAAGCTTCAAGATTGGAAGGAACTGTAACAAATGTGACCGCTGGATCCGTTTTTGTTTATTGGATCGCATCCGCGGGTTATGGCCCGGATTCTTCAATCACACCTTCTGAAGAACAAAACCCTAAAAACTTAAAGTTATTGGCATGTTTTTCACATGCAAATTGGGAACTTGGTGATTGGTGTCTTCTTCCATCACCAAAAGACTCTGTAAAAGGTAGATTACAAGGTCAAGAGAAGTCCGAGAGTGATTCCGAAGTGCAAGAAAACACCGGAATCGGAATCGGAATCACCAATTCCAATCCTTCGACAGAATCTAGTTCTTGTAGTGGTTCATTGCCTGTTTCAAAAGGTTCGAGTTCTGGGACTCATGAATCTTGGCCTTTACATAGGAAAAAGGTAAGAAAAGTTATGGTGAAGAGGGATAAAAGGTGTAAGAAAAAAGAGGAGAATTACGAAAAAGCCCTTCAAATTGTGAACACGAAAACACGAGTTGATGTACTTTGGCAAGACGGGAGTACAAAACACGGATTGGATTCCACTTCCTTGATTCCAATTGAAAACCCTGGAGATCATGAATTTGTTTCTGAACAATATGTTGTGGAAAAACCTAGTGATGGGAATGATGATGATGATGATGATGATCATGATGATGAAGTTAGTCGTGTTGGAGTTGTGAAAAGTGTGAATGCAAAAGAAAGAACAGCATGTGTAAGGTGGTTGAAATCGGTTGCAAGAGCAGAAGATTTTAAGGAATTTGATAAAGAGGAAGTTGTGAGTGTGTATGAGCTTGAAGGGCATCAAGATTATGATTATTGTTATGGGGATGTGGTTGTGAGGTTACCATCTGCTGACGTGGCAGGGTTGACCGATGGGAGTGAAGTCAAAGGAGATTTTTCGGATCTTTCTTGGGTTGGAAACATTACAGGGCTTAGAAATGGTGATATTGAAGTTACTTGGGCTGATGGGATGGTTTCAATGGTATGTTGAATCATATTTCTTGTAAAAAGACATGACTACCCTTCTTGTTTTTTTCATTGATATGGTTGTTTGGTGATATCAGGTGGGCCCACAAGCAATATATGTAGTAGGTCGTGATGATGATGATGACTCAGCTGGTGGTGGAAGTGAAGTAAGTGATGATGCAGCAAGTTGGGAAACAATGGAGGGTGAAGATAATGATATGGAAAATCTTCAAAAGGCATTAGAGGTTCTTTTCTATTTCTATTTCTATTTATAAATTATAATTGTCTTCATGTCATTCATAATTTTACAAATAAAGTGATTTAAAATGTTTTTATATTGTTCAGGATCTTGGGATGCAAAATGGGTCAGAGGATACAGATGAGCAAACAGCTGAAAGCATTCAGACAAATGGTGCGCTTTCTATACCCTTAGCTGCCCTTGGGTTCATGACAAGGTTAGCAAGTGGAATTTTTTCTAGGGGTCAAAGAAACATTACAGATAATTCAGGGGGTGATAATGTAACATTACATAGGGAAGATAAAAATGATGATGTGTCTAGTTCACGAAAATCCAGCTCTACTGATAATACCCTTGAAAGATTGGCTTCTGGTAGTGAGGAGCATGAACATGAACATGCTGATGTGGAGGAAAAGTTTTTATTAGGTTCGCCAGCTCAGCGATTAAATATTGATGATTCTGGTAAATCAAGTGAGGGGGGGAATGGAAATTCCAGCTTTAAAGGATTTGATATTGTTAAAGATCCTCTTGATCATTATTATCTTGGTGTCAATGGACAGGTGAGTTTAATGGAACTGTTCATTTTATTGAAAATGAAAAAAAGACATAATTACACAAATGGTCCCTGTGTTTTTCAGAAAGTCACTGGTTCGGTCCCTAACTTTTTTTTTTCTCTGATACAGATGGTCATTGTGGTTTTAAATTATTGTGTGTTCGGTTCTTGACCCATGTGGCCATGTGAAATGACTTTTATACCCTTTTTAATATCTTTTTTTTTTACAATGTTCTTTTTTAACTAAAGTTAGTGAAAAAGTTATAAAAAAAATATTAAAAGGGGTATAAAAGTCATTTTACATTAGTCAGGGGCCGACCATGCAAGAAATTGAAACCACATGGACCATCTTTATCAAAATAAAAGCTAGGGACTGAACTTTGAGTTTTTGTAAACCAAAGGGACTATTTATGTAATTTTGTCGAAAAAAGAAAATTGTTTGTTTTGCTCGATGGAATGGAATTGGCCATTCTTCCATTTTGTTATTTTTTTTAAGAATATAATAAAAAGTATAATTAATCTGTATTTACGTAAATCTTTTTGGAAAAAAATCATTATTTATAATGAAGTACAATTTTATGATTAAAAATTACCAAAAAAACATGATTGTTGTCACAACTTATTCGGGTTCTAAATTTATCCTTAGTTTATTTTTTATTTGTATATAGAAGCTCTTTAACTATAATCAAATACCATTTCAAATATCCTAAACCCTAAACCCTATACATTATATTTACATATGTTCGCAGAATATCACCGGAAGAAAATGGCTGAAGAAAGTCCAACAAGATTGGAATATCCTTCAAAACAACTTACCAAGTAATTTCCAAATTTCCCCCTTCAGTTTTCCGTACCAATAAACACAAAAAACCACTAATATAGCCTGAAATAATAATCATTATTATTGTTATTTTTTTTTTTTCTAAACAGATGGAATTTACGTCAGATGTTATGAAAATAGAATGGATTTATTGAGAGCTGTAGTAGTTGGAGCATATGGAACACCTTATCAAGATGGCCTCTTCTTTTTTGACTTTCATCTCCCCCCTGAATACCCCGATGTTCCTCCGGTAACCAACCTTCTACTGTCAGCTGTCAACTGTCAACTGTCAACTGTTAACTGTCTACTGATGTATTGTTTTTTTTTTGGACTTATATTAATAATGAATGATGAATGATGTACAGTCAGCATATTATCATTCAGGAGGATGGAGGATAAACCCTAATTTATATGAGGAAGGAAAAGTGTGTCTTAGCCTGTTAAATACATGGAGTGGAAAAGGAAACGAAGTTTGGGATCCAAAATCTTCCAGCATTCTTCAAGTTCTGGTTTCACTACAAGGCCTTGTGCTTAATTCCAAACCCTATTTTAATGAAGCTGGATATGATAAACAAGTTGGGACTCCAGAAGGAGAGAAGAATTCTTTGTCATATAATGAGAATACCTTCTTATTGAACTGCAAAACAATCATGTATCTCATCAGAAGACCCCCAAAGGTAAATTAAGAGTAAATTCACAGTTTTAGTAAAATTTTAATTAATCTTCTTTTTTTTTTTTTTAGGATTTTGAAGATCTTGTGAGGGAGCATTTTAGAGAGCGTGGGTATTATATTCTCAAGGCGTGTGATGCGTACATGAAAGGCTATTTAATTGGCTCTCTTTCTGAAGATGCCTCTGTATGTGAAACCAGTATTCCGAATGCTAATTCTGTTGGGTTCAAGCTCATGTTAGCAAAAATTGTGCCAAAGCTTTTGTTAGCCCTCAATCAAATTGGAGCTAATTGTCAAGAGTTCAATCATTTACAAGAATTGTAATGTCCTTTTTTTTTAACCCTAAAAAATGGAAAAATCGGATATTGTACATTTAGGGGTTTTTTTATGGCAAAATTTGAAAAATCGGATATCCTGATTTCTCAAGCTAACTAACCACAGTTGGGGTGTGTTTTTGGGATTTGATTTGTTGGATAAGCTATCGAGAGGATTTGGTGGCTATTTTTTGTTTGTTTTATACTTTTGTTGGTGGAAGTGCTACCATATTTGATTCAAGATGAGTAGAAAAGTTATTTGAAAACATGTTATATGCAACTTTGAAACATTTTTGATTTTGGTTTCTTTGAGATATATTGTGTTGTGTAATCATGCGTTTGACCAATTTTGACACAGTAGATTTCATGTTTGTGGTTCGGTTTTCTACTTCATATCTTGCTCTTCATCAGTTTGAAGATATGAAGATCAGAAAGAAGGAACTAAAACTGATGTTGGAATTAAGGATAATCAGTAAAAAAAAATTATTTTTATTTTGTAATTATTTAGATGTCGGATGAAACAAATGGAGAGGCATTTAATCGGGATATATTAATACTGAATGTTTAAAATATTATCTATATGATTCATGTATAAAACAAACAACTTGGTTTTAATCTCCAATACAGAAGCAATGTTCATTGATTAAGTAGATAAAAGTAATGAAAGACAAAGTATTGCAGATTTATACATTTTGATATTCAATATACTTGTGCCCTGATGCTAATTTTTTACCTTATAGATTAATTGTTTACTTTTCACTTAATGTTCTTAGTGAAAACTACACCTAATCCGATATTTCTTTTTCCATTTTCTCAAGGATGCATACGTATATTTGTTATACCATGAGTATATACCGAAGAAAAGATTTAGTCCAATATCTAATATAATGTTCCAATAACTGAATAACTAGTTTTAGTAAATAATATAAAGAAACAATTAAATACAATCTTGTTGGTGTCATCTGTATGAATGTGGCAACTGAAAACCGGTTACTACCAACTTGTCAGCAAACATCTTCCCTGTCTTTGGCATAATATGCCAGTGTAAAGTCAAGTTAATATCCCTTCCTCGAAGATTGCTTCCCTAAATTAAAAAAAAAAAAAACAAAAATATATTACAAAATATATCCAATTATAGCATATTGTACTTTCAACTTTTTTTCTTATTTATACTTTGAAAAACCTATCATGTGAAAAATGCTTTGTATTTTTTGATGGCATTGTAGTAATATGAAGAAATAAAAGTAGTTGATTACCTGATCAATGAACCTGTACTTATTCTTAACTTTCGTAGAGAATTTTGCATCTTCTTTTAATTGTATGATTCCATCCCACAATGACACCTGTAAATCAGGAAAAAGACATAATTGCCCTTATCATCATCACTTAAAATCACCATGTTTTATCTAAACCAATGTGTACAATATTAAAGAAGATTCTCTCGCCTGATTCATGGCATTTTTTGGAGTTCCATATTCAGCAGCTAAAAATACAAACACCTGAAAATCAGATAAGAAAAAGGTCAACTGTCAACATGGCATTCTTCTTCCAGACATGTTGGTTTATTCTTCATTTCAATGTACATCTATATTGCCACATTGGCTATTTTGACGCTGTTTATATACAATTTAGAAAGCAAGAATAGAGCCACAGAATGTGAGACTTTGTTTATCAGTATGAAGAGTGGAAGAAAGTAAGAGAATGAGAAACAATAATAGTTAATAAATTGCAACCAACCTGCTTGGTGTTCCATGTAAACAATGATTGTAGGTCTGCAGATATGCTTAGTGTCATGCCAATCTGCATAAACAGAAGACATATAATTGTTAATTAAACTAAACTTAAAAACCCTAAAAAATCGAGATGATAAGTAATTTGATTGCATCAAGAGCATGGAATCGGATTACAAACTCCTCATAGATATTAGATCGTAGTTCTTCGGCACAAAAACATCATCAATTTTCCAAAAGGAAAATCGACGGTTCAATTCTCTTTCGAAATCAATAAACCCTAAAATTCAACAGAGCAACTACTTTTTCCTTTTTTTTAGGCAAAAACATGAAGAATTAATTACCTCGTCGTCTCCGTTGGGTCTATTCTGGAATCGATTTACGTTCAAAACCTAAAAATCGATAACTCGAAGTTGATTAGTCGATAATTGCCGATAGTGATCTAGTGAAAACAACAATTAATGGGGGGAGAAAGAGAAACCTGAACATGTGCAGTTGGGGAAGGGGAGTTGAAATTGTCTGAAAAAGAGGCCATGGCAGCCATTAGAGCTAGAATCGTAAGGGAAAATGTTAGCAGAGCATTGGCTCTGTAACCGAAGGAATGCATCTTTGATCTCCCTCTCTCTGCTGTTACTGCACTGGAGTTTAGCAGGGAACGGAACAAAAGAAAGAGAAAGGTGCGTTAACAATTTACCATGGGATAATTCACATAAAAACCCTTAATTTTTTAAGAGTAAATTGCAAAATTGGTCCATATACTTTATCAAAAAGTGTAGTTTCGGGCCATTTCTTTTTTTTTCGCGCACAAATCGTCCAAAATCGAAACTATCATGCTGAATTGGCCCATCCACTTAACAAACATCCAAAACTCACGTTAACTCTCTCCATGTGCGAGACACATGATGAGTATTTTCGTCATTTCCTATTCTTTACTTCACTTATTGTCAACTTGTTTTTCTTTGCATAACTAATCCCTAAATATTGGTGCCCCCTCGTTTCCCTCATTGAAAGAATTTGATCCATTATCTCTGTAAAACCCTTGTGAGCCAGGTATGTTATGAAGTGCTCTATGAAGCTCAAGATTGTTCAAGGATGCTCAGAAGTTGGTATTGCTCAAGGATTAAACCATTTTGTGCCACTATGATGGATGTTGAGCCATTATTGCTCATTATGTACCACTTGTACATCATGATGCTCCACTATGACACAAGGTGATCCATCATGTGCATTGTTGGTACTCATGGATTGTATGACATGGAAGAATGTTCCAGAAGATGCTGCATGACAGATTATGATTGGTTGACACATTTCATGGGCCAATGTGCTTGGCCCATTAGGGTTTTAGGTCTGATCCCTCAAGTATAAATAGGGATGCATGTTAGGTTATTTTTTATTTTGAATTCTAGGGTGATAGGCGAATCTCTGTGTAATTGTACTTGTAACCTCTGTTTGAGAGCTCTGAAATAAAGAATATTCCCTTCCTGCTCGTGGATATTGGTCACCTTGACCGAGCCACGTAAATATTGTGTCTTGTGTCCTTATAGTTTTGCTAGTTATCCACTTTACTTCCTAACAATTAGGAACTTTATCACTCTAATTGTTTTATAGGACCAGATCTGAGCAATGGATGGTTGGTCTTTATGGATTAAGAGCTAAAAATGGAAATGGATTAATAGTGAAGTACACAGGGTGAACTCTCACTACGCATGGCGTATCGCTACACATGGTGTAGTTTGATTATGCATAGCGTAAGTCAACTGGGTGTTGACCATTGACTTTTTGCTCAGTTTAACCTTTGGTCAACTATGAGGGGTTCAGGACTTGAAAGGGCAAAATGATCTTTTTCCTAAATGGGGTTTAACTTTGGCTTTCATACATTTTAAGTGGGATATTACCTTAATTGCTAATTAGGTTTGGTTTTTATATATGTTTAGTGGGAGAGACCTTAGCACCAACAGCTCGTGTGTGAGATCTATCCGTTTACCGGTCAAGGTGAGTATCTTCACTGTACTTGTGGGTTATATGCTAATAGGATTCGTTTGTGCTCAAGACTTTTGTGGCCTTACACTCCAATATAGGGCCATACACTCCTTATGTGCAACCATATGCGTTAGTAACACTTAATTCTAAGTGTTTTTATATCCCTAAGGCGTGTCCCTATCACTATTAGTGGTTATATACACTAAATGTATTCATATATGTATAATTATATGCTAATAGGATTCGTTTGTGCTCAAGACTCCAATTGGCACCCTACAATCCTATATCGATCTTTCATTCGAGTTACTCAGTACAGGTGAGTTCATATGTAGCACCTGGTTCTTGGTACATATTCTTTGTAATTAACTCTTAAAATATTTGCATTTTTGGCATTGGACTCGGCGAGTTGAAGGACCAACTCACCGAGTACAAGCGGGATAAGACGCGGGACTTAAGTGATGGACTCGGCGAGTCGGGACCCGGACTCGGCGAGTAGGTGCTGTTCGGACAAAAACCCTAATCCGAGGGTTTGCACCTTATTTAAGCAATGTTATGATGGCCATATTGTCCCTTATGCTCCCCAAAACACTTCTCATTGAAACCCTAGCCATTTGTGCTTTGTTGAGGCCATTTTTGGCTACATGAACCTCATCCGACTTCCTCTTTCGGATCTGCTCCAAATCAATTTCCCTTTCCCTGGCCCGAGAAATCATATCTTCCAGCGTCTTACAACCGGACCTGCTCACGAACTCCCTGATGTCATCCCTCAGCATCTCGTGATATCGGGCCTTCTTCATCTCCTTATCCACGACATACTCCGGAACAAGAAGGGCCCTCTCCCTGAACTTGGCGGTGATCTCCGCCACAGTCTCAGTGGTCTGCGTTAAATCCTGAAACTCTCGAGCCAACTGTTGCACCTCAATAATCGGCGAAAACTCCACCCTGAACCTAGCTGAGAAGTCACTCCAAGTCATCGCGTCCAACGCGGAATCATCACCCAATGCATGACCAATCTCTTCCCACCAATCCCTCGCTCTGTCCTTCAGAAGACAGGAAGCGAGTCTGACCTTATCCTCATCAGGACACCGGCTCATACGGAATGCGTTGGCAACATCAGCCAACCATCTGCTGCTAGCGATGAGGTCCCTAGCCCTATGATAATCTGGTGCCCCGCAAGCCCTGAACTCCCGAAATGTCAAGGTACGCGCTCCCAACAAAGCCATCATCTCAGTACGGAAGGCTCCCAGCCTCTCATCCAAAATGTCCAATATACCCTCCTTAACCGTGCCAAAGATCACAGGAGTCTGAGCTAGAATACTGCGCATAACCTCGGCTGATATCAACTCTCTCATCCGCTCCTCGAGCTGTGTAACGCCTGTGTTTCTGGGCTTGCCATTTTTATCAATGTAATGGTCTAGGTTAACCTTTGTAACCCGTTTTGAAATAATATAAGTGTATTATTTGAGTATTATGTGTTTTGTGCTTAATTGCTTAATTATGTGGTTTGGTTAATTAAGAATAAAAATAAGCGTCAAAATTTAAGTGTAAAATAAACTTGATATCTTTAGATAATGTTGTAGTAGTTGAAACAAGGTTTCCAAAGATATAAAGAATGCCGAAATCCGAGTTATA